TTTGGGTGTAGAGTTCTGTAGATGTCTATTAGATCCATCTGTTCTAGTGTGTTGTTCAGTGCCTCTGTGTCCTTACTTATTTTCTGTCTGGTGGATCTGTCCTTTGGAGTGAGTGGTGTGCTGAAGTCTCCAAAAATGTATGCACTGCATTCTATTTCCTCCTTTAATTCTGTTAGTATTTGTTTCACATATGTTGGTGCTCTGGTTGTGGGTGCAAATGTATTTATAGTGGTTATATCCTCTTTTTGAACTGACCCCTTTATCATTATGTAATGTCCTTCTTTATCTCTTGTTACTTTCTTTGTTTTGATGTCTATTTTCTCTGATATAAGTACTGCAACACCTACTTTTTTCTCCCTGTTGTTTACATGAAAGATCTTTTTTCGTCCCTTGACTTTTAGTCTGTGTTTGTCTTTGGGTTTGAGGTGTGTCTCTTGTAAGCAGCATATAGATGGTTCTTGATTTTTTATCCATTCTATTACTCTGTGTCTTTTGATTGGTGCATTCAATCCATTTACATTTAGGGTTATTATTGAAAGATATGTACTTATTTCCATTGCAGGCTTTAGTTTTGTGGTTACCAAAGGTTCAAGGTTAGCTTCTTTACTATCTAACTCTCTAACTTAATTCACTTATTGAGCTTTATAAATACAGCCTGATTATTCTTTATTTCTCTCTCCCTTCTTATTCTTCCTCCTCCATTCTTTATATGTTAGGTGTTTTATTTTGTGCTCTTTTGTGTTTCCTTTGAATGCTTTTGTGAGTAGTTGATTTTGGTTTTTGCTTTTAGTTAGTATTTGGTTGGTCTGCTTTATTTGCTGTGATTTTATTTTCTCTGGTGACATATATTTAGCCTTAGGTGTGCTTCCATCTAGAACAGTCCCTCTAAAATACCCTGTAGGGGCAGTTTGTGGGAGGCAAATTCCCTCAACTTTTGCTTGTCTGGGAATTGTTTAATCCCTCCTTCATATTTAAATGATAATCATGCTGGATATAGTATCCTTGATTCAAGGCCTTCTGTTTCTCAGCATTAAATATATCATGCCATTCTCTTCTGGCCTGTAAGGTTTCTGCTGAGAAGTGTGATGATAGCTTGATGGGTTTTCCTTTATAGGTGACCTTTTTTCTCTCTCTGGCTGCCTTTAATACTCTGTCCTTGTCCTTGATCTTTGCCATTGTAATTATTATGTGTCTTGGTGTTGTCCTCCTTGGGTCCCTTCTGTTGGGAGTTCTGCGGGCTTCCGTGGTCTGAGAAACTATTTCCTCCCCCAGTTTGTGGTAGTTTTCAGAAATTATTTCTTCAAATACGCTTTCTGTCCTTTTTTCTTTTTTTCTTCTAGTACCCCTATAATGTGGATATTGTTCTGTTTGGATTGGGCACACCATTCTCTTAATATTCTTTCATTTCTGGAGATCCTTTTGTCTCTCTCTGCCTCAGCCATTCTGTATTCCTGTTCTCTGAGTTCTATTCCATTTATGACCTCTTTTACCTCACCCAGTCTGCTCTTAAGTCCTTCCAGAGATTGTTTTATTTCTGTATTCTCTCTCCCAACCTTATCCGTTAGCTCTTGCATATTTCTCTGCACATCCATCAGCATGGTCCTGACCTTTATTTTGAATTCTTTTTCAGGAAGACTGGTTAAATCTATCTCCCCAAGTTCCTTCTCTGGGGTTGTCAGGGATATTCTTGTCTGGATCAAATTCTTCTTCCTTTTCATGGTGATAGAGTTAGTCATGTGCTGTTGGCATGCATGTCAGCTGGGAGAACAAAGTCCATTGCTTGGTGGTTGCCTTCCTCTCCTGGGAGAATGGTGACCCCTAGTGGCTTGTGCTGGACAGCTGCATGCCAATGGGGCCTCTGAGTCAGGCCCGGGCACCTGAGGAGTAGGCTGTGGGTGGTTGCTGTGGGGGCAGCCACTCTCAGGCTGCTTTCCTGATATGGCAGGGCTGCACCAGAGGGGGAATGAATGGGAGGCTGTTTATCACCATGAGGAGCTTCAGAGGTGCCTTGCCTCCCAGAGGATTAGGGCACCCGGTGCTCCCTGGGATTCCCAGCTGCTGAGCTGAGTGTGCTGGGACGCTTCCATCCAGCTGTGAGGCACCTGTCCCTTTAAAACTTTAAAAAAGCACTCACTTTTCTTTTGTCCCAGGGGCGCTGGCTGTGGTGACCCACTCACCAGTTTTACTGTTCCGGTTCCTTAATATCCAGCACACCACACACTGTGTATCTGCGCTCCTGGTGTGGATGACTAGGGCTGGGTATTTAGCAGTCTTGGGCTCCCTCTCCCTCCCTTCTCTGACTCCTTTCCTCCCACGGGGGAGCTGGGGTGGGGGCAGGCACTCGGGTCCCACTGGGCTATAGGTTGTATCTTACCCCCTTCATGAGGTGCTGAGTTCTCACATATGTAGATGTAGCCTGGCTGTTGTGCTGTATCTTCTGGTTTCTCTTTTAGGAATAGTTGTATTTGTTGTATTTTCAAAAATATATATGGTTTTGGGAGGAGATTTCCACTGCCCTACTCACGCTGCCTTCTTGGCTCTTCTCTCTACTTTTTTTGTAAGGGAAACATCACCACATATTTGGGAAGTCTAATTAGATGCCAGTAATTAAATAAAGCCAAACAGTATTCCTTTTTTTTCCTCTCAATACCAAAAACTTCATGACTTGTGGTTGGATTCGGTTAATATGCAAACAATACTTCAGCCAGGCCTGTGGTGTGCTAAGGAGTAAACAGAAATGAACATTTTCATTATAATTATATTTCTTATTAAGTGTTGGAGAAGCTCCCACAGGATTCTAATCTGACTGTTAGAGAACACCAATTTAATAACACTTGATATTTTGTGACATAATGATCAGCTCATCAGAGATTGAGTAAAACAGAATAGTAAGTCCAAGGTTGTATACAATGACTTTAAAATACAGTTCAGAGATAAATTAGCATGGTAAGTGATGGCCCCCACCATCCTGAAGTTCAGCAAATTTAAATGAAAAAAGTTCCTAGGAAATTTTTATGAAATTGATACTCCAATTCTTAGGCCTTGGTTAATAATAAACTCCCTGAATTATTAGAAGGAGAGAGAAAATTGCAATGCACATTGCTCTTCTTATATCTCAGTGGCAAGAAAAAGAGTAATCCATTCCTTGCAGAATATCAAATTAAGTCATTTTACGACTTACAGGCAAGTCACTTCATCTTTCTGGATATCAATTTAATCATCTAAAATATAATTTCTAGACATCTAACTTTAAATTACAGTGATTCACAATTATAATTTATGGCTCTGTTTTTGTAATGTTAATCTTATGTGTATTTTAATAAAAGTGACTTAAAATTTCTGAAAATTATTGGGATAAGGAAAAGCTTTTATGGTTTATAGAGTACTAACAGAAGATTTGAACTTAGATAAATTCATCTAAGGAAATGTCAAATTTCTCTGAATTTTAAAGAAAAGTCATTTTTTGACAAACCATTTAGCAAATGATTTCTTCTCTTTAGAATCCACGCATTTGTTTCCACCAAATTACTGAAGGTTAGGTAGGTCCAATAAACCTTATATTATAGTAGTTGTCAAGGAAAAGAGCCAATGGCCTAAAAGACTAAAGCAGTTCTGTTTACACAACAGTGTGAATGATTTACTCTCTGATTACCAGAGACTAGATTTGCTGACTTCATTTTATTCTACCCTTGAGTAGTAATGCTACTTAGGGCATATTGTGACATAGAAGAATGGTCTCAAGCCCTTGGTCCACTGCCCTGAGAAATATATTGAGTTAATCAATTGTTTGCTTTGGATTTTTCTTTTCAATTCCTAAGCAAAGTATGAATTTAACAGAATTTTACTGTCACTGACATACACACAGCTTTTGTGCCTAGCAATTGGAACTGCTGTACTTTAAAATACAGTGTTTTGCCCCAAACCTGAAAACATTATTTCATTAATGCAATGCACAGCTCTAGAACATTGGATGACATTAGGAAGCCTAATTTCTCATTAAAGTTAAGAACATTATGAAACATCTTGCCTTCAATATTTTAATTTCTAAAATAGGGGAAAATAGCACATAGCTGCTTTACAGAACTCCTTGATATAAAACTTAACTTTAAAAAGAGCCTTTTGAAAATCAGCTAATAAATCAAAATATATTAATTTACTTTTAAGCTGGGAAACAAGTTGATTTAAAAAAATAATAAAGAAACATAATTACATTCCAGAAAGTTAATGATTATATCACTGTACAAGTCCAAAAAGTAATGACCTCATTTATATTTAGATAACCTCATTTAAAAGAAGATAACTTATTGCATAAATGGTTACTTTCAGGTGATTCTAAAAGTGTTATTTTGAAATAACTTCACATCTATATTTGGGTTTGGAAATACCAGAAGGAACGTTAATCTAATTGGAGATTTTCATATCTAGTAAACATCAGAAATTCTCTTGAAATTATTTTAAACTAGGATGACTTAATAACACCTTTTAAAAATACCTTGGGTTCCAAGGGAGGTAAATTGTACACAAAAACAACTATGTGTCTAAAAGTACAATCTGGTTTTTGTTTTTGCTTTTGCTTTTTAATAAATAGGTGCTTGGAGTTGCCACCGAGGAAAAAGAGGGCTCCTCTTGGAGATGCATGCTTACTCTCTTAGGCCTTTCATTCATCTTGGCAGGTCTTATTGTTGGTGGAGCCTGCATTTACAAATACTTCATGCCCAAGGTAATAATAATTACAATTCTTATCATTTGGATTAGTAATTGCTATACATTTAGTAGCAATTTAAATAATTCTGTAGTGATCACCAAAGAAGTGAAGATTTAGGGAAAGTTTTCTAATTACCTTTCAGTATATAAAACTGATTTGTCTTCATGCTGATAACTATAATCAGCAATCCTCATCTTGACAAAGGGTACAATGACTTGATTTGAGTGTGAGAAATGATTCAAATGTCATATAGTCAGTATTAAAAGGTTTTAATTCTCCTTTTAATATTTTAAAGTACCATCTCCCATGGAGAGATGTGCTTCTTTGATTCTGAGGACCCTGAAAAATCCCATAGAGGAGAACCCTGCTTCCTGCCTGAGAATGAGGAGGCTGACATTCATGAGGATGACAACATTGCAATCATTGATGTGCCTGTCCCCAGTTTCTCTGATATTGACCCTGCAGAAATTATTCATGACTTTGAAAAGGTGGGTTTATTTTTAAAGGTATTCCTAAATTTTCTTTTTTTCTCAGTTCATTGGTATTAAATTTGTCCATAAATATGCATCTTTTTACTGCAAAACCTTTTTCATTCTTTTGTTATTGAATATATGTTAGTTGATTTTGAAAGGCTTTAGCTGCTTGTTCTAACAGTAGTTGGAAAATCTTCAGTGTTGATCCTCTGTACATCACACCTAACTTTTTCTCTGTCCTCAACAGGGCAGGACTGCTTATCTAAAATTTCTGTCAGGGAACTGCTATCTGATGCCCCTCAATACCTCCATTGTTATGGCTCTGAAGACTCTGGTGGCACTCTTTGGCAAACTGGCAGTATGTATTCTGGAAGTCAAATTTTTGTATAAGCATTTGCTCCCTCATTTAAAAAAAATGATTTCAACCAAAACTTTTTATTTCATTGAAGTAATTTTCAAATAAAAGTATGACATGAACCTAAACTACTCTAAAAAATAAAGTCTATTAAATAAGCATATCTATTGTAGGTAAGGGTTTAAATAGTGCTTTTAAGAATTTCTCATTTCAATCTTTTTATAGAGTGGCAAATACCTGCCTCACACATATGTGGTTCATGAAGATCTGGTTGCTGTGGAAGAGATCTGTGATGTTAGTAAGCTTGGCATCTTTATTTACCAACTTTGCAACAACCGCAAGTCCTTCTGCCTTCGTCAAAGAGATATTTTGCTGGGTAGGCAATTTATTTCTTACTTCATTCTTTGTTATTGGAATAGTGAAGGAGAGTGGAGGTGGAGTACCAGGGAAGAGTGGAGAGCAAATCTAGATATATTTTCATTTATGTAAAAAACTAAAAGCCACTTTTTTGTGCATTTCCTCACAGGTTTCAACAAATGTGCCATTGATAAGTGCTGGAAGATTAGACACTTCCCCAATGAAATTTTGTTGAGACAAAGACCTGTCAAGAGTGAGAAGCAAAAGTAAAAGAGCATCCTTAGTAATATGAAGTCAGAGATTTATAATATGACTTCAAAATTAAAGTGTGTGGTATACACAAGATATTTAGTCATGCATTTATTTACTCAATTGCTTATACTAAAAAAAGGAAAAAAGAACTAATCACTGCAAGCAGCCAAGTTTTAGTTTAATTGGCATTGCTTGTTGTTTGAAACTGGAATTATTTTTGTTTTCCTTTTAAATTTATAGGGTTTAGATTTCTGAAAGCAGCATGAATGTAACAGTTAACATTCCAGCAATAAATTCTATCCTTTGTGGGGTTTTTTGAAGTAACCTCTTCATTAAACCATATGGTAGAACATGTCTTTAATTTAAAATATTTAAAATTGTTTTTGACCTTTTCTTGTAAAGCATGTCAAGTCTCGACTTTGTTTTGTTTTGTTTTTCATTTCGTGCAACTTTCCTGAATTTAGAACTTACGTCATTGCATTTCTGTTAGGTGTTCTTTAATAGATCTGACTTATATGTGAAAAATTTCCATAAAGAAGTCATTTTCACTAATTCTTCCTCACTGATATCTGTATTGTGAAATTCACAAAACTGTACAACTTGTGGGGAATTTAGGTTGTGTGAATTCTACAACCTTATAATAAATTTTACTGTGTTCAGTTTCTCACTTGAGGTATACTTAATATGAATAATTAATATTACTTATTTAGCTTTGGTATACCTCCAATAGGTCTAATATTATGAACATAACTCTACCCTTACTCCCACCTCCACACATTTATATTTTATATCATATTTTACTCCTTTTGATATTTTATCAATTACTTCTTATAAATACCCCATAACTGGCTTACATTTAAATTCAGCTATCTGTTAAGAGCCTACAGGCCTATAACAATTTCAAACCCTTTAATGTGCTTTTTTGTCATAAAAACTTAACCATGTACAGCTGTAAAAGGTCACTAAGAACTGACCTTGGATAAGATTTCGATAACTTTAAATAATTTCACATGCTGTGACCTCTACTTACTTATCTAAGAGTATAAACTCTTATAGAAAGGGGCCCAGTACTTTAGACTCTTTCTCTTGTGCTAAAAATTGTTCCTGATATCACTGATCACCTGATGGTGATTATTGAGTAATTTCAAGGCAAAGCTGTACCCAGTTAAATCCATAGCCCTAAATACATTTTTTAAAGAAAATTAATTAACTAAATATATAATTTCAAGAATTAGAAATAAAACACTAACAGAGTTTACAATGGAAAAAATACATTAGAAAATAATAGCACTTGTAAATTCAGAATGAGAAAAAAAGAATGAGAATATTCAGAAAGAATTTGATAAAAATAGACATTCCTTATTTAAAAATATCTTTGTATTGTGACAGTAGGTAAATACACTTACCATAGCAAGCATTTCTCAATGAATGTGTTATTGAGTCACTATGTCGTATACCTGAAAGCAATATAATATTTTATATCAACTACACTTCCGTTAAAAAATGTATAAAAATTAGGAAATGGGAGATACATTTTCTGAAAATTTATGTTAAGTAGTCATCATCTGACTAAGGGTAAAATACAAGAAAGGATTCTGGCTATTAAAGCTATGCAATGTTTTAGACATTCTGATTGATGAAATTTTATGTAAATCAAATGGTAAGTTAATTTTTAAGGAGATCCAAATTATGTTTATTACCACAAGGAAAATTTTTATATAAAACACTAGTGGATTAATTGAAAACTTTAAAAATCCTTAAGAACATTCAGTATAATATAAACAAAAGCCAATGTTTATATCATCAACAATCAATTAAAAAGGTAATACAAGTAGGTAAAAAATGTTTTCCTCATAATAGCAACAGGGACACAAAATAACACTAAACAAGAATATTACAGAATTATGAAGAATACCAGTAAACAATTAAAAGATACAAAAGAAGAGCTGAGTAAATGAAGAGGCAAGAAAGAACTTTACAAATAGATAAATTGTTCCCTATTAAAAATGTTTTTTTTAACCCCATCTCAATAAAAATTCCAAAATAACTGTTTTTGGAACTTGACAAAATTATTTGAAGGTTCACCTGGAAGTATAAACAGATGAGAATAGCTAAAGAAAAATATTTTTAAAAAGGCTAATTGGAAGCAGGGTTTTCTTGAATGAACAACTCTTAAGCCATGACCAAATTTCCAATAATTTTAAATGCAACATCTGCTCAAGGTAGAGAATATAACAAGAAAGAGATCTAGTATGTAAGGAGAGGATCATAAAGGAAGTTTCATGCACTGAGATGCATTGTTTGTCAAATGGTGTTGGTAGAAGTGATTAAATGAAAAAAATGTCCTAGTCACTACATATGAAATACAAGGCCAGCAACCTCCCAAGTGCAATTTTTCCTAAGTTTTCACCCCCAGTAAACATTCTGAAAAATAGAAAACCCTCAGAAACAAAAGTATAACTGAATGAAAACCTGATGCTGGGATCTATGAGGAATTGATATGTGACAGAGACTAACTCTCCCATCATTTATCCCACACTCAGATCCCAGGATCTGTATCAGCAAGAAAAGTAGACAGTCATCTAAGAAATGATGTTTTGGGCTTCATATCTTATATTACATTTCTCTTCTATCCCTACACCCACCTCCACATGATTATTGATTCAGTTGTTTCATTCATTCATTCACTCACTTGTCACACACTGTTCTAGGCATTGGGGATGTGTACATTTGTGAGCAATATAGACATGAACACTACCAGTATTGAGTATCTAATCTCCTGGAAGGAAAAAATACATTAAAAAAATAATTACACCATATTGTTATGAAGAAAACTTATAGATTGTTTATGAGAGTTTATAACAGGGGATGCTAAACTTAAACCACTAACGAAGTCTTAACTTAGAATGTAAAATTTGAGCTGAGAGCTGAAAAATGAGTAGTGTAAATGAAGTAAATGAAAGGAGAATATGTCAGACTGATGAAAGTGGGAGCTACATCCCTAAACTAGGAAGGAGTTTGGTTGTGAAGTGAAAGAGAATCTAGAGCACATTGAGTAAAAAAAATTGTATGGAAAGTAATTGGAAAAATAGTACAGATCATATAGGTCCCTGTAAGCTATGTAAAAAATTTGTCATTCTTATAGTAATAGGAAACCAATGAAAGGTATTAATCAACATCATAGAAGGGAAAAGGTCAGTATTTTAAAAAGATCAAATTGCCTATGATGAGGAAAATACAGCAGGACAAAAGAGGAGGAAGTAAAACCTGTTAGGAGGCTACTTCATTTGTCTGAGAAAAATATGGTAATGAACTGGACTAGGAAAGTGACAATGAGAAAAACAGAAATAGAGGAAATCAAGATATATTTTGGGGATAATATTGACAAAATAGTTATAGATCATCTATGCAGAGTAAGGAGTGTTAAGGGATCTTGTCATTGATGAATCCCAGGTTTCTGGCTTCTACACTGTGATGATACATAATATAACTTGGCCCTGCAGATTGCAGAACTTACTAAAAGTAGATAGGGGGAAATTGATATTTGATGTGTCTCAGGGTCTTGGCAGAAAATAGTTGTCACTCTTAAACAAGAAAAAGAAAACATATCAGTAAAGAGACAATTTATTAGAAGTGCAAGAAAGGTTAACAGAAATCAATGCCTTGGTGAAGGTCATTAAGACTAGCAACACTGAAGAACACTTTTGACCCCCAGTTTTGAAGATGGAAGGATAAAGAATGCTTTCCAGAACCTGGAAAGACTAGTTAGCTATTGGTGAGATCTTTCTCTAACAGGAGCTTAGCCTTTGGTAAAACACACAACCAATTTGCCCTTTAATCTCTTGCTGGTGTCCTCCATGGGTCAAATTCAGCTACAAGCCAGAGGAAAGGAATGCATAGATGCAGTCAATAAAGGTAAACCTTCTGGTTACAAGCAGAATGGGTAAAAGTGAAAACTGGCTCTGGAAAACAAGGCAGGGAATGTCCAGTGCAGGCCATTGCCTTCTCTCCTGAGTATCCACTCTTAATTTTTATTTAGGTAAATGTCGATGTCCCAATGTCTTGCCAATGGGTTTCAGACCCAGGCAAGTTGGCTATGGATTCAATGTGACCAAAGAAATTGACAGCAGAATGCTCTTTGGGGTGAAAGGTTTTATTACCCAGCTTGTTCTTCGGCGATAGGTTGAGCACTAGTGCCTCTGCCTCCATCCAGAGCACTGGGCCGAGCTCTCTATATAGCACAATAATGGCTTATTGCCTAAAGGTGTGGAAGCGGTAGCCTAGCAACAGGCCAGTTACATTATCAGGTGGTTTAAGTTCAGTGAGGATCCTGGCCATAGGAACCCCAACTTCCCCACACTCCACTCCTCCAGGATTCTCACCTTACAATCTACATGCTTTCAATATTACACAATGGTCCCTGTGTGAGAAAACTGGAGCACTGTAACTGCATTCCACAATAGCAACAGAGAATAACAACTTAGAGATAATAAAAATTAAGATAGAGCAAGATTTTGATACAGTTAACAAAAATTATAATAATCCTCAAGCCAGAGGAGGTTCCTAATAACAAAAATTATAATAATCCTCAAGCCAGAGGAAGTTCCCAATCCATAAAGACTTTAGGGGCGATAAGACATGTTTTAATGCCACCAACATAGGCAAATCTTGTCCATCAGGTAGGATGCAAGCAAGAGAGTGTCCTGTGATAGGACTGTAAAAGGAAGGGGGTCCCTTCCAGGTCTAGTACACCATACTTTTACTCCTTTCCCCGTGGGGGTTACTGAAGAGTCTATATATAGTGCTACTGGAGGTGCATACACTGGCCATAATGATAAAACAAAACTCCCTGGTAAGATGCTCCTACCTTCTGGCCATTCAGGATATACTGCTATGACCTTTGGTGGCCACTCTGCTGTTAGTCCAGGAATACACAGGAGGCCAGCTTCCAGGCCTTGTCCCCAAGGTGCCAGGAGAGCCAGCCATCATTGGTCCATGTGTCAAA